CTGGCCTTTTATTTCTCATGAGCAAATACAGCTCAAACTGAAGCTGCTGACTTAAGGGCAGAGAAGAAATAAATAAAGCAGCAGAGGAGCAATAAAGAGAACAAACGACAGAAAAAATAAGAACAAAAAGTCAGCTAAAGTGGGGAAATTAAGAGACAAATTAGTTGTTACTTAATCTTTCTTTGAAATCTAATGGAGAACTTTATTTTGTATCCCTGAAACACCCGCTAATTTTCATCTGTGTCACACTTTAAAGAAACAAAACTTAAAAGACACGGATGGAAATCACTTTCTCATCCCCCTGTCCTTCCTCGATGGCACATATAGACCCATAATATTAGATGTTTAAGAAGATTTTAGTTCTTAAAGAAAGAGTTTAACAGAGGCATTTGGGGAGAATCTGTGTGTTTATAGACAAAAAGGGGGAAACCCCTCCCAAGAGGCCTTGCCGTGATCTGCGAATGGTGGATTATAAATTAAAAATGCCTCTGACTGAATTTGTATTTACAATTGGTGTTAAATGGGAGTTTGGGCTTGGATTGATCCATTTAATATCAAGACTGATGGACTGATGGTTTTACTGTTTTATGGCTCCTGACTGAATTCGGAGTACAGGAAGGGAGAAAAAAAGCAACAGATTTGGTGAACATAGTATGACCTGGAGAGAAGATGGAAGTAGAGGTGGGCCTGCTGAATTTATAAGAAGCTGCATTAAAGTAACTTAACTTTTAAAAACCTGAACTATTAAGCTATTGATGTGTATAGGGTACATTTGTGATATAAATACAATTAGGCTTCTTTGTAAATTGAGAATCTTAGGGGCGAATTTAAGGTAAAAGAGTAAATAGAGGTTTTATTTCTCAGTGGAAATTGTTACCTTACAATAAAATCTATACCCAAGAAACAGAAATGACAGCCTTTAGCCAATGTACAAGTCTATCAAAATGAATAATGCAAGATTATCTTAAGAACTATATACAGTAGATTCAAATGAACATTATCAATCAATTTACGAATCAGGTTAAAGCCCAAACTCTAGAAATTAAGGCAGTAACTTCAGAATTCAAAGAGGACGTGGAACGAAATATTCAGAAGAAAGACCAATTCACCAAAGCAGTGGGAGGAGCAGAAAATGTGACTCTAGAATGAAGATTGAAGAAAGATAAAATAATGGGCTTTTATGAGAGGAAGGCTCAGGTGGATGAGTTGTGGATTTATACTAATGAGAAGATTATACAAAAATGTATATTTAGTAGAAGAGAATTCAGAGAATGAAAGGGTGAAAGCAGTGATGATGAAAGGGGTACAAAACTTTGGCTATAATATAGACACAGATGATTGGATTCGAATGTGGAATGATAATTATAGATGGATTAAATCAGTAAACTTGAGAGAAAATGTTTTAAATATGTTCTATAGATGGCATTTAAAAACTGGCAAAAAGGGTGTTAGAGATTAGAAATTCATGTCAAAATACTGTCAGCAACTTTGGGCTCTCTTTTGTATAGGTGGTGGATACGTGACAGAGTAAAATGATTTTGGAGATAGATAAAAAAATCACACAAGTGTATATAACCTTTAAACTACAAATGCTCTTGCTGAATATAATACCAGAAATAATTTCTGGTTTTATATTCAGCAAGAGCATTTCTAGTTATATATATAGTACGATTACTGTTTTGCGATCGCTTTTGCGATTGCAAAACGATGTTTGAATGGTTTTTTTCGCTTTGCGATGATCGGTTCCCTGCTTCGGGACCGATTCTTCACATTATGATGAACTGAAAACAGCTGATCGGCGGCTGTCAAAATGGCCACCCGCTGTGCAAAATGGCTCCCCGCTGTTTTCAGGACTGCTTTTTCGCTAGACAGGGATCAGAAAATGGCCACCCTATGGAGGATCTTCGCTGGACGGTGAGTTATTCAGCCCACTGAAAGGCATTGAATGGGTTTTCAATGCGTTTCAATGGGATTTTTTTAAATCGCTTAACGAGGATTTCACTCTACAGAGATTTCTCTGGAACGGATTATCCTCGTTAAGCGAGGTACCACTGTACTTCATTCATTTATCTCCTGGATAATATAAGGCTTTATAAACCTTGAATCTAGGGGCTGGACTTGATAAATCAGAGGGTCCCTTCTAGCTGTTCAGGTCTAAGATTATTTATGTTTTTATGTAGTTAGTTAATTAGTTAGTTAGTGAAATGTTGTGAACCATCCAGAGTGTTAACAACACAACAACAACAACAACAACAACAACAACAACAACAACAACAACAACAACNACAACAACAACAACAACAACAACCAGAAGCTTAAAAATTCAAATAATGAATATTGTAGAGCTAGCTGAATATTACATTCTGTTATTTTTATACTGAGGATCTGAAGCCAGATGAGACCCCATGAATGCTTCCTGAGATGTCCTATCACCATCATCTTGGTAAACATATTAACTAGATTGTTTCAGACACCCATCTGCCTCCCTTGCATTCATATTCAGAAAAAAAAATTCCCAGCGTATTCACTAGGTGTTATTCTAAGCAAAGCAGGCATAGAATTATAACAATTATTTCACTGGTAGAAGGTGTAGAAATTTGATTGCCATAATACATATCTGAAAATAAATATCAATCATTAATAATAATTGTTTTATTGATTCCCCCCTGAAATTAACAACTGGAGTCAAAAATCCTAATACAGTACAAGCTAGATAAATTAGTAGAAATTATCCCCTACAGACACCCACACGTGCAGTTTTTTTTTTACCATATAAAGTCTCGGCAATGTGAACAATAAGTGGGTTGTCTAAGGTAGGTGGCCATAAACTTGTGCCCATTAACTTGGTGGACCCTGCGTCGCACTGCTCCTTGGCGCTTCCTGGGGCGCATCCGCTCCCTGAACACTCGTTCTTCATTGTCTTTGGGTGCTGGAGAAAAGAAAAGAGAGAGAAGAAGGAAAATCAGCACAGCAAGATTCCAGGTACTGTGCAAACATGGAAGAATGGAAACACAATAGGCATCTGCAGTTCGATTGGTGTACAGTATTCCAGAATACTGTGCATGTGCAAAACACACACTCTGTCTCTGTCTGTCTGTCTGTCTCTCTCTCTCACACACACACATTACACACACCCCAATGAAAATGAAAACAATAACATAAATGGCACAAAATTTCTATAGATTTTCGCATCCTAAGCTAAAGTTGGGTTAACTTATATTTGAATAACAACGATGGACTACTTGATGTCAGAAATGCACTCTATCTGTCTGTCTGTCTGTCTGTCTGTCTGTCTGTCTGTCTGTCTGTCTGTCCGTCCGTCCGTCCGTCCGTCCGTCCGTCCGTCTATCTATCTAATTTTTACAACAATGTTTAACAATTTTCATGGTTCACAACAATGAAAATTATATTAAAAATATAACACAATCAAACTGAAATTCTATTGAAGCTAAATTAAACTAAAGTCTTCAATAGCACAACTTGTGGAATGGGATCTCAGCCAGCATGCCTTAACTACCACTTGCAGGCAGCCTAACATATGAACAATGAGATGGGCCCCTTGCTCCCCCCCCCCCCCCGCCACCACAACCAGCATCAAGGGTCCTTCTTCCTTCCTTATCCAGCCATTTGGAAGGAGAGGCAAAGGAGGATGAAGCAGCACAGTGAAAGCAAATGAAACAATTTACAAAAAGAAGTAGCTTGGTGCCACTCCCACCTCCTGATGGATGCTGATGGTCCTTGGACATCAATGGACCAAAAATGCAGAACAACTCCATAAACAACATGGGAAAGAAAAATTTCCAGGCTGTAGTTACAGGCAAAAATGGCAATTATAGCTCACTTGCCACCTGAGGCAAGTGCTTCAGTTTGCTTCCTCACAGAACTGGCCTTTGATGCAAGGTGTCTTTACATTATCAGAACCTGCACTATAACCTCACCCTGCCAAAAAAAGCAAAGCTTAAGAAGGTTGCTGCTTTTGGACTTCAACTCCCAGGATCCATCAGAAAGCAAAAGTAACTTTTTCAGGTTCTGTTAAAAGATGCCAAGGCTTCAGTTCCAACCTCATAACCACAGATGGTCTGCAGCAATTCGCAAGAATGGGTTTTAACTGCACAAATCAGTTATGCAGTTAATGAAACCTCAGGATTTTAATACAGATTAAAGCAGTGCAAATGTGAAAAATCAGCAAGATGTTTGTATCAGATACAAATTTATTCTCAAGATGAGGAAACAAGCAATCCCATCAGCTGACTGAATACCATCAGGGCTTTCCTCTAAGCAAGCAAGGACACAGCTTAATAGATACTAGGATAGCGCTTTTGACCGTGAGTTTTTAAATTTTTTTCTTTGTGATCCTTCTCTACATGGAAGGTCTAAATTTTCTCAAAATGGGGATGCAGCAACTTCTTCCTTGTCTTCAACAGTTGTGTTAAACCATACACTGCAGGAGGTCCAGGACGAGCAAAGAGATCAGACACAAAACTTTTTGTTTCCAGCTGTGACTCAACCATCAAAGCAAAACCCGGCTATTACTGCTTGGCTGCTTCCAGCTGTGTAATATTTCACTAAGTGAGACATAGTTCTCACCCCCATCACCATCTTTCTGGCTTGAGATGGGGGGGAGAGGGAGAGCGAGAGGGAGGGAGAGGAGAGAGAAGGGTATGACAGGAAACATCTGAATCAATCACCACCAGTTTTAGCCTCACAGAACTCATTCTGAAGCTGATAGTCTCAATGGGTTGCCTTCAGCAAGAATGAATACTCAGGAGGAGGAATGAACATGGATTTTCCCAGACCTCCTCTTTTGTGACTCAAAATGGCCAACGTTCAATCTGTTCATGAAGTACAGGTCCAAACATTCCTGTTGGGCTAATCCGGTCCCAAGCCACCATTTTGTTTTAAGCTGTACTGTTTGCTCCCTTGGTTCAATTTTCATTATCAGGCCCCCACCCTACCATGAGACAGAGGGAAGCATTCACCTCATGTGATACAAAAGGGCAGCAAAGTCTCTGTTATTTTGATTTACTTATTGTTTGTTTACCTTTGAGATTGAGAGGTGGGGAGAGATGCTTCAGTGATTTTTTTAAAACTTTCTGTGCCAAACTAACTTTCCTGGGTTTGAGTACTAAACACCATGCCAGAAGTGACTCTGGGCAGTGTTTGCTATTCTGCCTCAGGCAGCAACATAGCTTGGGCTTGCCATGTCAGTGGCTAATCATGCAAAGGGCCCACTCCTGCTCTTAAACTGAAAGTTTGTAGGAAGGCCCCATTCCAAGGTATATCCACGCAGAAAAGAAGCAACTGACTCACAGAACATCTATTTTCACCCCACAGAAATTTACAGGCAATGACTTCATACCAGAGATTCTGGCAGGATCACTTCTTACATTTAGAATCCCTAATGGGGTGACTCACTCACTCAGCTTCCCTTATGTGTGAGTAGTCAAGGGACTGTGAGGCTCATGGCCATAATCATTTGTAGGAATAATGGGCCTGAACTTGAGCAGCTCCTTGATGAGGCTGGCAATCATGTCCATGGCTGTGGAAGGGGGTGTTTTTTGTGTGTGTGTTTTGTTGTTGTTTGTTGTTAAGTTGAGGAAACAACGGCTATTTCTATTTGGAGTGTGTGTGTGTGTGTTTTGTTGTTGTTTTGTTGTTAAGTTGAGGAAACAACGGCTGTTTCTATTTGGGATGTAAATCTTCACTTAGGGAATGAAAAACTTCAGAGGTTTTCCTCTTGCTAATCACCATTAAAACAATTCTAATGTGCTGAGGGGATTGTGATAAGTTGTAGTCCAAAATGCAATCATTATCATCATCATCAAATATATAAATAAATAAAATTAAAATCTTTTTCCCAAGCGATGCTTTACATGCATACTTATGGACACCAACTTAAGTTTAAGGATGTGAAGAAATCCCACCAGTTTTAGTTTTTAGTGACCAGCTGTCCAAGAGGGTTTTTTAAAATGGATTATAGTGCCTCGTTGTTTTTAAATGTATTCTTAGTATTGATTTTATTTACTCTTTCTGATATAATATTTAATGCTTGTAAAATATTTGTATACAGTACTTAGGGTTTTTAGCTTTTAAACATAGGCTTTTAAAGGAGAAAGCCGAGGTAAATATTTTAAATGCATAAAAATGCATCTTTTTCCTTTTTCTATTTTCATTTTAATGTTTACTGATATTATTTTTATTTGTTTAATATTGTATTGATTAATTTATACTTTGTCCTGTTATTGTATTGTTTTGTTTTCATACTTTGTTTTATTATACAGTACTATGTAAACTGCCCAGAGTGGCCTGGGTTGCCAGATGGGTGGTATAGAAATCAAATGAAATCAAATCAATCAGTCAATAATATTCTCTTTGAAACTGGCCATCTCAACATGTTATGACAGATGGTCAAATACTCTCCAGTCAACATAGAAAATTTTGTGCAGGGACAAACATTTTTCTCTACATGCACACATAGAAACCACAGGAAGACACACTGATTGATATAGGACACACAAACAACCCATCCACTGGTACTAAGTTTGTTAGTTCACGCAAGAAGACAACACACACTGAATCTTCCAATAATGCACATTTTGTAGAAGCATGTCAAAGTCAACCTTGCAAACGTGCAAAATCTCTCTCTAAGAAGAACACCAAATGTCTCTTATTTATTGTGTGAGGCTGGAACAAGTCAGGATTTACGCCTCTGTTTAATTAAGTTCAAGAAATTCATTGTCGATGGTTGGAAAATGGTTGTCAATCAAACAGTGTTATGTGACTCCGTAGAATGCTGCCCCAAGCATTCATATATCCATTAATTGTGTGCTCCTCCATCTGCATTCCCATAGTTTGAAAAAGCAAACATGTTCTTCTGTATCAGTGCCAGTCATGCTGTGATTTTTATATTAAATAATAGCACATATACATAGTAATATAATTTTCTAACTTAAGTTTCTTGGAAATCTAAAACAGGCTCTTGTAAAACACCAAAATCAATGATGTAATGAAAAATCATTATTTAATTTAATTTATTGTACATACCCAGTGGAATTTTAGAGGGGGGATTAGCAACAAGGTTTGATCCAGCAGAGAAATGCCAAAATGAATTAGCTCAAGTCTAGATAAACCAGTAAAACACAACTGAAGTAATTTAGAAGGAGAAGCTAATTATCACAGGGTGAAGTGCTAAAAAAATTAGCTTTGCCTGCATAATATAGATTAGGCATGTCACTGTTCTTGAGTTTTCTCATGCAGTCATATGCTCCGAGCATCACTGTGATGCTAGGATTTTTCTCAGGTACTGTACACAGCAACAGAATTTGGGCTGCCTAAGACAAAAAGTTGATAAAAAATTGATAAAACCAATCCATAAACTTTCCATTTTGACTTTACCACCGTTAGAAGATTGTTTCTCATTTTCTTGCTTCCATTTACCACTAACAAACATAGGGTCAGTTTTTTTTTACATATGAATGAAACAGAATATGGAACGCTATTCTTGAACACTTGGAAAGAGGGGTTTTGCTTTGAGTTTAGATCAGCTCAGAAAATAAACTAAGTTCAAACATAACTCACTTTTATTTCCTAGACAAGTGGGAGCAGGTGAGGTCAATGAGATTACGGTATAGCAGCTAGGATATGACACTCTTGTCAGTTTCAATTCCACTGAGTTTCTCAAAATGCCACCAGTGCTGTCATCCTGTCCCATTCCTGTACTGGATAGCGCTCTTTTCCTTCATCTCCCTCTATGAGATTCATGTCTCTTTGGGTATACATTTTTTCCTGATGTTTGTTCATTTTGCCTACAGACACAGACACATTCGTGCTTGTTTTTCCACTGGACACCGATTTCTCCCTTTGCATTTTTTGCAAGGGGAACACTGTTTGGTACATATGTTATTTTTCCGATATGCACCACTCGTAACA